ATTCAAGGTTTAATTTTTCAGGTGCCTTCTTAGCCAAAAGCATAGACCTATTTAGTCAAGTGAAATTCAATTGAATCATGTAGTTTTTGTTCTGTGTTATGTTTTTCACGAGTTTTTGAATGCCAGTATTCTAGAACAGGTAATATGTAATATGTTTGTTGTATCATTAATAGTGTAATATTCTTAAAAGGAAAACCCTTGATGATTAATGAATAGTTAACTAAGTGCAATTTTTGGCAATGATTATATTACAAACTTAAGTTTCTGGTATTCATCAAATTTATTTATTGTATTTTTATTTCTATATATATTGTTTAATAAATTGGTTAAGTTTAAAACTTTTGTCATCCATGTCTGCATAATACATAAACTTGGGGTGTTTCTACTGTGATATTTATTTCTGCTAAATGCCTTCTATAACTTTAAACTTTGTTTTTTGCATCAATAAGTATAATAAATAACTAAACTATTACAATTCAGGCTTAATTCTCAGTGCGGAATAGAAGCAAGAGAAAATTTTATTGTCTTTAGCTGCCAAGCTTATGATGCATAGCCAAATATGTATAGTGAAGGATAGCTAAATTTGCTGATGATAGCAGGTAATTTTAAATGTTTTCAGGTATCTCAAAACAAAGGTGAAATTTTCCAATTACCGGATTTTGAAAAGAAATGTGGGAGAATCGGTAATAAATGAAGATGATATAAAAGAAGTTTTTCTTTTTGATGACAATGCTTTTCAGTCATCAATCAATTAATGAATTGTGAAGTCTGTGGTATGGTCCAGAAAATACCGCTACTGATAGTGAAGAAAGTGACAGAGAAGTTTCTGAAAATGAAAAAAATTTCGATTGACAAGTTAGTCGGAATTCTCGAAACAGCAGTTACAGGACGTCAACAATGTTACAAGAGATTATGTCTGTCTACAGAATTAAAGAGAAAGTATTAGCACACAAAAAACGAAGCACCTTAAACAACTTACATTGAAAGAAATGTTTAATAAGGTAAACAAATAAATATTAAATTTTTTTTTTTTTGTAAATTTTGATACCCTTTAGATCATAAATACTTCATTATTTCATAAGTCACGATTTCATATTTTTAATTTTATAATTTCTACATGCCATCTTACTAGATTTAAACTGATGATCTAATATTTGAAAAAATTCCAAATCTGGAACCGCCAAAGTCCTGACAAGTCTGGATTTCGGACTTTGTTCTGTATTAGTAGAATTATAAATTAAACTGTTTTATTCCCCTGCAGTGCAGCGCATGATGAATATTAAGAGAAATTAAAAATACAAGAGCATGTGCATTTAACATTTAATATATGGTAAATATCTTTTTTTGATTTTGAGGAATTGCAAGAACAATCTCATGTGTGGTTTAAAAACCTCACAATTCAGTAGTTGTTTTATGAGTTTTGTTTAGAAAACTGCTGTTGATTACTGTAGCGAATTCAAGATGAAATCAGATTATCTTTTTCTACGTTTCTGTATTTTGAATTAGTTCTGTTGAACGTTTTTAGTAGTTTAAAAGATAACTACTGTGAGATATTAGGATATTGTACGAATATCTGAGGAAATTTAAGCATTTTGTTTTATTCACTGTGATAATAATAAATTTTATTATTTTTCATCGAACTTGTGCATTCAATTCATAACGAACATGTACGCATGCAACAATTTTTGGTGTCAGAAGTGGGATTTGAATGGCAATAAACAAGAGCGATAGAAGAACAACTAAGGCAGTTGATATCAGCCTTTGCCTCTGTTAAAGAAGAAATGAAAAAAGAGATGAAAGTGGACCAGGAGTCTGTTAAAGAAGAGATCAAAGCAGTCAAATTAAAGATGGATGCTGGTCAAGAAGACATAAAATTGGGCCAAGAATCCATTAAGGAACAGATGAAAGCAGTTCAAGAAAGATTGAAAGCAGGTCAAAAGGAAATGAAAAGAGAAATTACCTGCGTAATAGAAAATAAATTCGAGGCTATGGAAGACGGAATAGACACTGTCGAAAATAAAGTCGGACAAATTGAAGAAAAAGTTTCTTCTGTAAAATATCAAATTGCAGAAAGAGTTTCTTCGGTAAAAAAGTAATAGAAGAAAGTGTTTCTTCCATAAAAGGACATATAGAAGAGAGAGTTTCTGCTATGGATAACAAATTGATGACTGGGTTTTTGCGGTTGCCAAAGAAGTTGATACTTTAAAGAAATTTAAAGCAATTTGGATAGTTTTAAATTTTTATCAATGCCTGCTCGTCCATCTCTGAAGCTATCCACATGTAATGGGAAGACATCCTGGCAAGTGTTAAGACGAAATTTTCAATAGTTACAGAAGCAGATGGATGGGATTTCCAAGCTAAGATTACAGTAAAATTCATTTAAAATCCCACCAACAGAAGCCCACGGAAACACTTCAGGAACCCGCCACAGATGTTGAAAGGCTGTCCCATATTGCCTTTTTGAAGTGCTTGACAGAAACAAGGGAAATCCTGTCCCTGCAATATTTCATTGACAGTATGTGGGATCCTGAAATACAGAAAGCTCTGCAAATGGCAGATCTGAAGGATATAAAAAGCACTGTATTGTATGCCGTGAAATTCGAGGCAGCCCAGCAAACAACTCATAGAGATCACTACCCAGTCAGAGCTGTGTGAGTCCACGAACCAGTGGATCAATTGATGGCTCATTTAGATGATTTATCCAGACAAGTCAATTTTGATAGGGAGTAGGAGTGAGAACAAAGTAGCTCTAAGGTGTTGGAAATATGGTACTGAAGGGCACATTTGAGGGCATTGCAAAAAACCCCAGGGCACGGATAACAAAATGGATGATTTAACAAGACAAATGAATGCCTTGAGATGGAATATTGGTGAGAAGAAACCAACCCTAAAGTGCTGAAACTGCGGTGTTGAAGTCCAAATGAACTGCAGAACGCTCCAGAGCATGGAAAATAAGACAGAGGCGTTAAACATACTATTAAATGCCATGGGACAGAAAAGGAGTGGCAAGAAACCAAAGTGCTGGAACTGCGGAGCTAAAGGCCACATGCAAAGGAACTGCAAAATCCCCAGGGTACAGAAATTAAGACCATTGAATAGTACAAAACAGGAAACAAATTAATGATCATATTGTGGAGTGGAGTTTGAAGGATAGTGGAAAACCCTGTTTTAAAGCGCTCAAAATTTCTGCAGTAAGTAACAGACTGTCCATCAATGGGTATATCAATGGGGTTGCTTGCAATATGATGATTGACGCAGGAGCTAATGTCACCATCATTCGGAAAGATTTAACTCAACAGTTTAAAGATAAGCACGTTAGGACGCCATCCTGTGTTACCCTCCAGACTGTGTCTGGCGATGAAATCTCCATACCTGGGAAGTTAAACGTGAATATCGCGCTTGGAAGTGCTGCCTACCCTCACACGGCATATGGGGCAGATATTACAGATCCTTGTATACTCGGATTAAACTTTTTAAGGAAATACAATTTTTTCTTGGACTTCAAAATTCAATTTGCTATGAAATCGGATTAGCTTTCTCTACGTTTCTCTACCTTGAATTGGTTCTGTTGAACGTTTTTAGTAGTTTAAAAGATAACTACTGTAAGATATTGGGATACTGTACGAATATCTGAGGAAATTTAAGCATTTTGTTTTATTTGCTGTGATAATAATAAATTTTATTCATTTTTCATCGGACTTGTGCATTCAATTCTTAACGAACACGTAGGCTCGGAACAATAATGTAATTTATAGTCTGGGGAATACAATAGCCAAGGGTTTTGATTATAGCTATCATGAAGTATTGTAACTTTTGCCATGTAGTGTCCAGCATTATTCTATCTTAGAAATTTTGCATTCATTCTAGAGTATTTCTTGCAAAACTGTGAGAATTTTAAAAGAAATTTTGGGGTAAAAATATGTTTCAGGGTCCCCCTTGGTGAAAATTGGCAATTTTTTGGCGTCATTCCTGTTTATGTCCAACCTCCCTTCCCTGTAAAATGGTGTCCAAAACATAATGCATTAACACATAATTAAAACAAAGGCAAAAATATATTTATGGGTGCTCCCTAGCGATACACTGACACCGAATTTGTGCAATTCTTTGACTTATTGTTTAGGCTTTGTGAAGCAGCAAATTGCTGCTACACATAATAATAATCGCTGCATCCAAAAAATTAATTTACCAAATGATATGCTTAAAAATTTGACTGTTTCTTTAAATTGCAATTTGACTTAAAGTGGTGCTGCTTGACAAATTTCATCAGCTGAAAATGAAATGCAATGAAACAGTAGTGCAGTACATTGCAAAAATTGAAAATCTTGCTTAGCAAATAAAGGAGTCTGGTGAAAGTGATGCAACATTAATTACAAAAATTTTGTTTCATTCTTTTTATAATATAAATGTTAATTAACATTCTTTTTATAATATGAATGTTAATTAACATTCTTTTTATAATATAAACGTTAATTTTCCTTGCTTTTCATGTCACGCTGTCATTTCATCTGTTACTTATTTAAAATTTTCTTGTTGTTCTGTGTCTTAAAATTAGAAATTAAAGTTAATAACCTAAAACTGCAATAGTATATACAAGTGAAAAAATTGACAGTTTCACTCACGTGTGTGTCAGATTTGCACAATATTTATGAAGGGCCCCCAAAAAAATCTCAATGATAAAAAGAGGTCACGACTGAAAAAAGTTTAAGAAACCCTGAACTAGATAATCAACAAGTACCTATATATATATATATAGCATTTAAAGTTGACTTTCATCTAATTTTATACTTAATATTGTCATATATATGTATATAAATGTTTTTGTGTGTATACTGAGTACACAAAAGTGTGATCACTTTCACAGAATACCACAGTCACCTAGATGCGTTTGTCGGGAAGGTTTTACTATACGTTATTTAAAATGCACTTAAATCTTTCTCTCACTTCTGTTACTTGACTGAATTTGCATCTTATATTTTTTGTTTCTTTCTTTTATGTAATTACTTTTCCCCCCCTACATTTAGTTCAAGTAACTGCTGATTATAAACTTAAAAAGGCTGTAATATTACAACTGGGAGCAAATCCATCAGAAGTAGATAGTAAAATACTTGTTGCTGGAGAGCAAATTGAAGTGTCAAATGGCTGTAGTGTCAACCTAATTGAAAATGATCTGAAATATACATTAGAATTTTTAAACTCAGAACATGCTACAAGACCCAGACATCGTTCAAGATCTAATCCAAAGTCAATACATAAAAAACTAAAAGTTGAATCTCCTTCATCAAAGAATGAAAATGAAGAACAGGTTAATGGTTCAATTTCTTCTGAAGATAATGAAGAAGGATGCCTCAGTGAAGAAGCTACAGCAAGTAAGGAAGAGCAAGAAGGTAAATGCTTATTTCGTATTTACTATCAATAATGCTGTATCAATTGTAAGTACTTAATAAAATGTGAAATAAATTAAATCCCTAATAAATGCCAAACACTATTTTTATTTTATAGCACTATATTAATAAGCATAACTGCACTAAAATTTAATTGATAATTATAGGGTATTATGCATATCATAAAGTAATAATAAATCAAAAAGAAACTGGCACCAACCTAATTTTGGAAACTTGAATGAATTAAACCTGTTCTCGTGCCTTTCATATCTAGCTCCCTGTATAATGTCATACGTGAATTCAGAGTCTTAAATCATAGCAATGAGTTTGATACAAAACAAAGTAAAGGGATCAACTTGAAATATTTCAAATTTTTTAGACCAGAGAAGATAAGATAGCAATAAATGCAGTGCTGATAATTACATAAAGTATATTTTGCATTAAGCTTTCAGTCAGCATAGAATATCTGGGTGTGGATCTGCATTAAATTCACATTAAACACGAATTATGATAATTTTTCTTTGTAAAATTCACTTTTTGCTTCCCCTTCTTTGAAATTTGTTCAAAAATCTGATTTTTACTGTTATGAAATTGGCAGGTTGTGTTCATGTCATAAATATTAGATCATCTAAAGATAACGCAGCTAATCTGTAAGTCAGTGAAATAATTGATATTGATTGAGAGACATTTTCAACGTTCACAAAAGTCTCTTCTTTCACTTCATGTCTTAAAAATTCTTACCTTCTAATGGCAATATATATAATAGAATCTAGAAAAGTAAATATAACTTAATAGAAACATTAAACGTTTTGAAGCAAGAAAAATGGAAAGTTGACTATGACCTTGCTAGGATTCAAACCAGGGATTTGCATGCTGGAACCAGTGGCAAGCTGGATGAGCTCAACTATCACTTAACCTCAAGAGCATACCATATGGAAATGGGATAATCCCTCATACTCTCACTATTTTCACTATTTTACTCTGTATAAATGTTGATAAAGCAGAAAAGATGGTACTTCTAGTTTAAAAAAAAAAATTCCAGAAACAAAAATGATTCAGATATGTTAAAATTAACTCTCCACGTATGGCGCAATTTGGACACATTCTGGTTTTAAAATACGAAACTTTTTTTTTTAATTCTCTATCTTCGTATATTACTATTCACATCTTTATGAAAAAAATTAGTATAATGCAGAAGTCTTAATAGTTTTTCTTAATTTTAAAAAACATACTTGCGCACTCATGTTTTCACACGACCCGTATTACAAGAAGGATTTTGGATCCTGTGGAAATTGCGGAGCTGTACTCAGGGGGTTAATATGGTATTATTATGATTTGAATAAAAATGCATGGATAGTATAAATAAAAATATTTTTAAAATGCAGGGATGGCCTCTGATGTATTTGCAGAATATCTGGAAAAAATGGAGAAAACAATGGGATGGCAAGACTCCCACTCCCCAGTGTACTCTGCTCTTCCCCAACTGACTGACTGTTTAAAAAATGCAAAAGTTCAAATTGTATGAGGACGTTGCAATTTTTATACCTGGGCATAACCGAAAATTTCAGAAAGCCCTTTAGGAAGGTATTAATTCAAATCTGTTTTTAGAATATTAGTACAGGAAATTCCAGAGTAAAATAAACGTACTTGAGAGTAAGAGTATGATCTCTGTAGCTTGAATTCAAGTAAGATCAGAAATAGTTAAAATTGTTTCATCAAAGAAAGGTTTTCAAATCCAGAATCAGAAGAAACATTGACAGAAAAGTGTCTTGATAAAACTGCAATTATGTTGAAGAAATTGGAATCTCCTTCAAGAAGACATTACTTTCAAGAAGTATGGGAATTGTGATGCCAATCTAATAACTTCAGAAAAGATACACAGTTTAAGAACTGATTGAAATTAGATTGCCAGATGAACTTTAATGACAGGGGTAAAGCAAAAAGTGAACAAATAATGCTTCTTCACTCCTCCCAATATTTAACTCATTGTTTTGAAATATTAAAATTTCATTTACTAGTAACAAAGCTTAATTTGATTCATAGACTTGAACATTACATCAGATGACACTTGTAGACTTTAATAAAAATCTGCATCTGTTTTAAATTCTTGATGGTTAAAAGTTTTTTAAGATGGTCAAAGAATTAAAGTTATAGCCATTTTAATTTTTTTTACAAATGTTATGAATTTTGAATTCTTAGGATTTAAAAAAAAGTTTTTAAAAATGAAATTTTTATTTTAAGAGTTTAGATTGTATTTTAAATAAACTGTAAAATTAAGTGTATATAATAGCATTAGTATATCACTAGCATTAAAATTCTACAGTTAAAAATATTTGTATTAGATTAAAAATTAAGATTTTGATTTTATATTTGTGTGCTTCTCTTTGAATGCTTTCTTATTAAAGTCTTATTAACGGTGCTTTATTCTGGCAAGTTTGGAAGGAAATTCATTTTATTGCATAACAGTTTTATTCAATGGAAAAACAAGAGAGAACTTTTTTTGTTTGGTGATAATGCTTTATATTTCTGCCATTTTTAGTTAACTTCAGCATACTTCTCAGAGCCCTTTTTGCATGTATTTTATAAATAATTTTTTTTTCTCTTTCATTGTGTTATTTGTATATAGTATAGTGTTTGGACTTTCTGTACTGTGTAATTTTTTTAATGTGTATTCTTCTACAAAAGAAGTTAATAGAACTAAAGAAAAATAAAATTCTGTATTTTGAGTGAATTGATGTATTTTCATAACCAAGACTAAATTGTGTTAGATTTACTTCATGAAATGTAGCTAATGACCTTATTACAGTATACAATCTGAGATATGGAATTGTTGGGACTTTGGTGATTCTGGATTTTGGATCATAATTTTAAATATAGTAAAATGACATGTAGATATGGTAACATTTGGGCTTCATTTGTTGTTTAGGGCAGATGGAAGAATGGTAGCCTGCAATCTGGCTGGGGTCAGAGTTGGTGTGGCTGCACTGTTCAGCAATATTTTTTTTTTTTTTTTTTTAATTTAAAGGAGCGCAAGAAGCAGCAAAAATTAGGGATGACAGAGTTTTTAGAATTTAGGTGAAACACTGGGTTGCAATTTTTTTTTTTTTTTTTTATTTAGGACCCACAGAGGTTGCAACAGCGCCCCCCCCCACCATACACACATTCTCTCAAGGGCCAACAAGGTCAATCAATATATTAACTATAATGTGACTTCTTAACCAACAGGTGTTTGAAAGTGGCATGCAGGTGTCTCAGATAATGGGGAGAAAAATTATATTTACTGTGCATCTGCTACTTTTTGTTTAGTACAGTCAAAAGTCGTTAATCCGGACTCGTCGGGACTTCGGCGATTCCGAATTATCGATTTTTCCGGATTATAGATCATCAGTTTAAATCGCGTAAGATGGCATGCAGAAATTCTAAAATTAAAAATATGAAACCGTAATTTATGAAATAAAGAACAATTATGATCTAAAGGGTATCAAAATTTACAAAAAAAAAAAAAAAAAAAAAAAAAAAAAAGCTTAATATTTATTTGTTTACTTTATTAAACATTTCTTTCAATGTAAGTTGTTTAAGTTGCTTCGTTTTATGTGATAATAAATTCTCTTTAATTCTATAAACAGACATAATTTTTTGTTCACTTACAAAGTTCCGCTGTTCAAGTCCCGTTAATTGCTGTGCCGAGAATACCGACTAACTTGTCAATCGAAATTTTTTTGTTTTCACTAACCTCTCTGTCACATTCTTCATGTCTTTATCCATTTTTTGCAGAAATTCCACTTATTGTTTGATGGACATCGAAACATACTTTCGTTTTGTACGATCCTTTGGGAGCTCCAGAATCAAAAATTCTATTTGACATAATCGAAAGTTCAAGTTTACTTTTATAGTATTGCTCTTACAGGCTGCAAAAAATAATAAGCCGGATACAATTCGAAAATTAAGGAACAACGCAATCATCAACATTAACTGAAATAGATAATTAGATAATTTTAGCTTACACCGTCCGTTATACATAAAATGCGCACGCGAAAACGTATTCTCCGCTTGCGCACACGCAAATGCGCAGTCGTAAGAAGTCTTACGCGCACGCGTAAACGCCTATGCGCATGTGTCAACGCGGCGCATGCGCAGAACGTTTTTAGCTTTGAGGTCCGGATTATAGATCATTCCGAATTATGGGTGTCCGAATTAACGACTTTGACTGTATTTATTGTATTCTAGATTTCATGCAGTGCCAGTGCTATGCAATCACTTCGATTCCTAGAATCTCCCACCTAGTTATTCCCTAAATTTTACTGCCTTTAAATTCTGCTGCCCCGTGCATCTGCACCTGTTGCATATGCTCTGGCACTGGCTTTGATTTTATATGGTGGGGGGAATTTTATTATATTGATCTAATTATTTATTTTTTGACTGATGGTCTGAATGTTCCGATATTAGATCATTCCAAGTATTGGAATGTATCAGAGGTATTGGAATGTCTCACATTCCAGTATCTTGAATTTCAAAACCAGGAGTACCTTTGCACTGTATCACATTCAGTTCTCTATACGAATCTTTATATTTCGTCCTAAAATAAGTTTACCATCCATCGATACATTATTGTTGAATCTGATAATCCGACACCTGCTGAATATAAATTTCATGTACTCTTTTATTGTGTAGATGCAAAGTCATATTTTGTGACCGTCTAAAAATTATGTGGGAGGTGCTGAACTACTTTTGGTAAAACTTTAAAAAAATATTAAAATTTGTGAAAAAAAAATAAGAAAAAAATTTATTCTATCTTTCTCTTTTCTCCAGTGGAAGTTGTTTCAGATGATGAATTGAGAAGAAGGGAGATTGAATGTAAACTTGAAACTATGCGTAAAGCTGTTGTTGATGATTTCAATTCATTGACTACTGTGGATCGTTGGGAAGAATATGATCATAGCAAGATATTCATATTTACTCCTGCAGGGCTAAGAGGACAAACTAAAGTATGTATTTATATACAAGAAAAATTATTGATAGGATCAGTCAACCTAAAAATGAGATATTTTTTTTTAAGTTTTACTGTATTTTAGGTAGGGACATTACAGTATGTGCCATCTGATAACAGAATTATCATATAATAAATATAGAATTATTATAGTAATACATGAATTATTATAGTAAAAATCAGTTGTACAATATCACAGTGTAATAAAAAGAATTATATTTAGAGAAAAATTCCCTAAATTTCAGGACCTCATATCCGTAAAAATGAGACGTTGCATTTGCATATTTTTTAATTCCTAAGAAATCATACATGAAGAAATCTGAATTAAATCATAAGAAATTATGAGAAATAATTGAGACTTGTTACCTTTTCGATACTTTTTTTTTTAAATTTTATTTTATTTTAGTGTGACTCCTTTTTTAGTCTAAATAGATCAACTGAAAAGTATGGTCTATCAAAATTGCAACAATGTGCTGCTTTTTTATTTCAATGCATGTTTCCTTATCATAAAAGTCATAAACTGGAAAGAGATTTTTGATTGTATACCTCTATTTTGGTTCCAAAATTTCAAATTTCATCAGACAGATTTAGTTATAAAATTAGTAACACAACAACCTTGAGTTTAGCATAGATTTATGTCAAGATCTCAATCAATTTTGAGGCGAAACATGTACAGGTCCATCTTTGTCAAAAGCAAAAAAATCTGAAAGACTGGAATGTATAGATTTAATTACGTAAAACAGTGATGCCTTATGTAACAAGCATTTGCATGGAATGGAAGTTTGCACGTAACAATTTGAGTCTCTTACTACAAACCGCTTGAATTTCATCGTACATTAAACAGTTAATTCATTTTTAATTTCTTTTCTGTTTTTGTAGTATTTAAGTACATGGATACATTTATACATAAACAAAGCAATGAGTAGAGGACCTTGCAAGCAACTCATTTCTTGATGTTAGTCATAAAAGGACTGCTAGCTTTCCTTAAGCAGGAGCACAGCAAAGACCAGGTAGGAAAATGTTTCATCAGGGGATGAGGAAAAGAATGTAAAAGATCCATGCCATTGCAACCATCAAGGATCTTCTGATCTACTTTCTGATGTAGAAAGAGGTCCAAGCTACAGCTGTGCAGCAATATTTCATTTGAATTGCAATGAACAGATTGGCTCATGATATCTTCAATGATGATGCCACATACTACTTCAGAACAATCTTGAAGAACATGGAGAAGCAAACCACTGACATCTGAACCTACCAGAAAGCAAAAAGATCAATGACATCTCAGTCTTCCACCTCCATGGAAAATTTCGAAGACTCTGGCTAACTGAACAATGATTGTTAAAATGCATTCATACTTTTAGTGTATGCAAACTTTTAGTGTCACTATATTGGAACAGATAGAAAATACATTAAAATTATTTCCATGTCAACATGTGAGAAGTATTAGAAAATGGTGCATGACATAGACTGCATTCATTATAAAAAGGGTCTCTATACAGAAGTTGTTGAATCAATAATGATTAGATATAGATGTATTTGTCTTGAACCAGCTAATATTTCCATTCATATCACCAAAGAAGACAATAACTTCCAGTATTTCCTTTCAGAGCTTAACTGCATTATGGGCTGCTGGGCGAATCAGTGTGCTGGGGCCCTATGACAATCATTCATAGACACAGACATGAAATGTGACTGATAGTATTAATGCATATTTATTGAGCTAGCGATACCTTATATTTTTACTACCTTTTAACATACCTTTTAACATACACAGAGTAATTTATTGTATATTACACAGAATTAATTTAAATCTCAAATACAGTACAAAGTCTAATCCGGACTCGTTGGGACTTCGGCGATTCCGGATTAGGGGTTTTTCCGGAATATAGATCATCAATTTAAATCTGGTAAGATGGCATGCAGAAATTATAAAATTAAAAATATGAAATTGTGATTTACGAAATAATGAAGTATTCATGATCTAAAGGGTATTAAAATTTACAAAAAAAAAAAGGTTTAATATTTATTTGTTTACCTTATTAAACATTTCTTTCAATGTAAGTTGTTGAAGTTGCTTCATTTTTTGTGCTAATACTTTCTCTTTAATTCTATAAACAGACATAATTTCTTGTTCAGTTACAAAGTTCCACTGTTCAAGTCTGTAATTGCTGTGTCGAGAATACCGACTAACTTGTCAATCGAAATTTTTTCGTTTTCAATAACCTCTCTGTCACTTTCTTCACTAACAGAAGCGGTATTTTCTGGATCTAGAACCATACTACAGATTTTTCCATCTCTTAATTGATTGATGATTGGGGCATTGTCATCGTAATGAAAAACTTCTGTTATATCAACTTCATTTATTACCGCTTCTCCACATTTCTTTACAAAATCTAATAACTGGAAAATTTCACCTTGAGTTTGCAATGTCCGAAAACCTTCAAATTTGTGGCTGTCATCTTCATCATCCTCACCATGAAATATCGTAGCTGGCTATAAATTATGCCAAGCATTTTTTAACTTATCTGGAGACACATCCTCCCATGATCTTGTGATGCTCCACGCAGCAGATTTTATGCTAAAAAATTTCAAAATGTCTTGAATAGTCTTTTCATTGTTCAAGAAATTTAACATAGATTTTTAAAATACTACTTTATATTTGCATTTCAGCACATGCACTATTCCCATATCCATAGGCTAAATGATAGACGCACAATTTGGAGGGAAGAATAATATGGAAACATTATCTTTCACTAAAACTAAGTGAAGTATGCGCTGAACAGTTGTCAACAATCAGGACTATTTTTGAGTCATCAGGTAAACCAACCGAATTCAAATGTCGCCGAGCCTTGGGTATAAAAGCCTAGCTTATACCGTCCGTTATACATTAAACGCGCATGCGTAAAGCATACAAAAAAAAAAAAGGTTGTGGCTTTGAGGTCTGGATTATAGATCATTCCATATTATGGACTTTATACTGTATATTTATATTAATGACAAGTGAATTGACATACACAAATTAACATGGAGGCTGCATGCTCATGAGGTCCCCAGGCAAGTGGCTGCTGGGCCCATATACTGAGATGGCCCTGCTTTCTTCTTTTTGAGTAGAAACATCCCTTAGCCATAATTTTCTAATTTGAATATGTACTTGAATGGGAATAAGATCCCTTTTATGTTTCTGGACTCCACTGAAGTTTCGCCATCATCGATTTTACATGACAAAATCTGTTGCCAAATTATATTTCTTAGCCATCTTTAAAATTGTATGTTCAGTGTTGCTTCTGTAACTGTAGGAAAAATATACTTCTGATGTGTGGATTTTCCTTTCTTTGTCTAGAGTTTTGCATTTCCCTTAGTCATTGGTTATGCTGTGTTTCAATGCATTGTTAGACAAGAGGATTTCTTACTGCATTACTGAGTCAAGCCATAACTGCACAGCTGATGGCTTGATTTAGTAAAAGCACAGCTGATTTAAGCAAAGCTGATGTTTTTGTGTGTGTGTTTAAGGAAACTTGCATTACAATGATTCTGATATAGTGAAAGCCTAATTGTACATCTAAAACTAGCTTTCTAGAAATTGGATTTAATTGTAAAATAATTAAGGTGAATTTCAAATAATTAAGTGGCTAGAATACCTGACTTAAAATTAAGTAGTGCAGTTTTGCAGGTTAGTAATTTTTGATGATATATGGTTGATATTTCCATTAATTGAGATGCAAACAAAGGAATGTTAGTAGCTGCATTCCTTTGGTTTACCGTTACAAAGATATCTCTTTTTTATGAAAGATTTTGACATATAATTTTTAGGTTAACTGATCCTATGTGTTTTGAAACTTTTCTTAAAATATTATTTTTATGTTGCTATTATATATATATAAACATAAATTATTAAAGTTTGTTTTATTTCAGCATGAATCGTTTCTAGAAAAATTAAAAATGTACTTATTTATCTTTTTCATGATAGTATTTAAATTGTGACAGTAAAGTAAGTAAATTTTAAAATCTAAAATATGGTATCATGCTTAGCTGTTCCTTTGTTTAGTGACTGTCATACTTCCCTCTTTTGTTTGTTTGTTTTCTGTTATTTAACCCTTGGAACTCCATAACTGTTTTTAACCTGGTCATGAGATTTGTTATCACTTAGCATGTAGTACATGTTACATAATTATTTAAAACATTCTGTTTTCTTATTTTCTTTAACAATCTAAATATCATCCTAAAAAAAAGGAAGGTTATGAAAACAAAGAGTAAAATAAATAATTATGGCAAATCTAGCTAATGAATATTTTTAAATATAGCTTTTGGTAAGCAGATCCAAGAAGCTGTGGTGCTCAGATGATTAGGAATATGCAGTTTTATTCTTACCATAATAAATAATTAATTTATTAAAATAAACTGTACTTTCTGATTATCTATGCCCCCATTCCAAAAAGTTGCCAACTGTCAGCAGCTAATTTTTCACTAAGCTGAGATGCAAAAAAAAAAAAAAAAAAAATAACAGCTATTTTTAGAACTGGCACTGCATTAAGAATGACATAAAACAACAACTAGTTAACAAAATTAAAAATTCAAGAAACATCTTTAGTAAAACAATTAAGTTTTTTCGGAGAGCACTGTTCTCCACGTGTGCACATTGATCTGTATAGCTTCAAAAAACATCACAGAATTGCAGAAACTTAGCGTCACGTAAAACTTGAAAATGTGCACAACTGGCAGTTCTCCCCATGTACACAGCATTTTGTTTTTCTTAAAAAACATCATAGAGTTGGAAAAATTTTGATTCATAAAATTTGATTGCTTATAAAATACAATTTCATGGAATGTGAATTTTCCATCCTCTACTGTTAGGTAAAATGCAGTATTTTTGAAGAAATTCAAAGCTTTTTTTTTTTTTTTTTCCATCAGCCAGTAAACACAGTCCCATTATAATTTTATGCTTCAAAAAAGTGTATTCAATGCAACAAAGACAAGCACTAATGATCATCAAATCTGAAG